ACTCTATGATGTGGCAAAATGTTAGACAATAAGTAAAGTTATAATTAAAAAATAATAATTAATGTCTAGAATTTTACCACATAAGGAAATAAGGAATGATTGTTTTGTGAGTGATAAATTAAGGGTAACAAAAAATTTTCAATAAAAAATTAATTTGCTTTTATATACAATTTATTTCTCGGGGAGATATCTTATAAAACCAATAAGTATGAATAGAGTCCGCATGAGTAGCTCAATTGGCTATAGAGGTAAAAGTTTGGAAGAATGACCAGGGATCGAGTTTCACCAGCCCACGGTGTGGGAGCAAACTCTCAAAGTGAGGGTAGCTCTTTGTGCGCAGTAACTAAAAGTTTAGTCGTCGGGGTGTGGGGGGCCCTTAGGGTGGTTGGGGTTCAACTTTTTGGAAGAATAAGTGTGAATGGATGTCGTTATACCTTTCATTCATGTCAAGTTTTTCATTATTTTTAATACATTAAGTGTTGTACTATACAATATTTTGGTAAAAATACTCCAACCGTTATAAGTTTCGTTATCTTTTCCAACTATTATTACCATTTACATGCATCTACCGTATATTTTTTTTTATCTTCTTCAATGGCAATAATATATAGACATTATATATTGAAATACTATATGATTTATTTCCTAAAATATAAATATCAAATTTATAGAAATGATTTACATCAATATTACATACAACTCTGTTTGGCATGTGTAGGTGAAAAGTTAGCTGATAAACTAGTAGCTAATAAACTAATAATTAAAGTGTTTGGTAAAATTAATTCTTGAATTAGCTTATAAGTCTAAAAGACAAATGGACAAATTAAGATATTAGAATTTTGATTAATGAAGGATAAATGATGTCAAATTTTTGTAAATCAATAAAGATAAAAAGGGAAAAAAAAAATTAAAAACCAGGAGTTTATTTCGAAATGCTACTTAGGATCACGTTTCAAAATAAACTCTTATTTTAACCCCTTCATGTTTACCAAACAGAGTTTATAACTTTTTTGTATAGTAGTTTAAAACAAGTATAAGATCTGAAATAAACTATTTTGATATTATCTAATTAAACAAATTAGATAATATCAATACTATCCAAAATATATTCAAATATTTTAATATTATCTTTATCAAATTTTTAATGTCAACAAAATTCTACCAAAAAGAGCCCATTACTATTATACAATAATATAAATATCTAAAATGTACATAAATCTTAGATTTTAATATAGATTACCAATATTAGACATCTATTTTAACACATCACGCATAAAAAAATACTATTTTTTTATACTATACAATCAAATCAAACGCTTAATTTTCTTTAATTTGTTTATATGGATCAGGGATCGACTGAGTCGTTACCCAAAACTTGCACATCGAGATTAAGTCCGCATCTGGTAATTAATATCTTAATTAGTTATTCTTAATTTTAATTGTTTCAGCTTTGATTATTTGGACATCATATAAGTATATTAATTATTGTGAATTTGTGCATGGATGCAGTGCTTCTTTGCTCAGAATGTGCAGCAAGACATCCAAACTCCTATCTTTTTCTTGATGTCTGCATTCGATACTTTTCAGGTTAGATGATAATATTTTACGCTAAATGCACCATATGATATATGACATTTGTTATATTAATAAAAAAAATTTGAAAATTAAGCAGTCCATATGTGTGTGTTTAATTTGCATTATATATATATATATATATATATATATATATATATATATATATATATATATATCTATTTGGTTTTTTTTTTTTTTTTTTTTTTTTTTTTTTTTTTTTTTTTTTGAGAATATATATCTATTTGTTTATGATCTAATTTCATTTGTCTTCCATTCATAGTGTGGGTTATATGTGTGTGTTATTATTATTAATTCCTTTAATATATTTCAGATATCATCAATTTTTATGCACAATAAAACGATACAAAATTGCATTGTGAATGAAACTACTTGTTCAAGTGAGATTTATAAAGTCTTACAAGGTTAGCATTACTTAATTCAAGTATAAAAAGTAACTATTACTATACATTCACACGTGTATATATAATAGAAACTACACACATCACGATCAAATAGTTTTGTGTTTTATGTATATATATGTTTCAGATCTAAGACTAGAAATGTTAAGTCTATTGCCAAATCAATCGAATTGTTCGTCAAAAGGGGTCTTGATTACCTCCCCTAAGGCTCATGGACAAGTACTATCTGGTAACTGGTACCTAGACATGGTCGTTGAGGGAAGCAATGAGGTATTATAATAAACCTAAACTAATTATTTATCCTTTATAATTGATCATATATTATTTTCACTACATATATATCTTCTTCTTCTTTTTTTTTTGACAGACAATTGCAAAACTATTTAGAGATTGGTACTTTGACGATAGAAATGTTTATATAATAGACAAATATCCATACTCGTACCCAAAAAATTGTTCAATAGTATCAAATAACAGCCTCGCCTGATTAATTAACAGTGCTTGCATGGATGACGTATAGTATGTGATCCTATGCTTTGTATGTATGTACTTAGCTTGTTATAGTCTACAGAATTTGAGCAACAAAAATTTATTAATCGAGAGGATGACTAAGCTTCTGCTACATATACTTTAAAAACCATGGTGAGTATCATAAATATTAAAAGGGATAAGAGTTTCAAATAACTATAGGTTAAGTGTAATTAGCCCCTTAAACTAACAAAAATTTCAAGTAGATCCTTCATCTTTTTACTTTTATGCAATTAAGTTACAGATAATTTCTTTTCTTCTTTTTTTCTTTTTAATTTTAAAAAATAATTAAAATAAAAATATATATTTTTAAAAGGCTCCTACGCAGATACATTTTCCCATTCAAAACTTCCATCATCTAGGAAAGCAGGAAGGGAACAAGATTTTTTTGAAAAATCAATTGCAGTTCACATGAAAGATTATAATACACCTGAATATCATATGCACAAGAACAGTTTTAATACACTGAAGTTTCTTGAATTTCAGTTTTTTTTTGTAATTTTTTTTAAAAAAAATCAATTTTACCTGTAAATTGAGCTAATTGCACAAATTTAAAAAGTTATGGACTTAATTGCATACAAGTAAAGAGATGAAGGACCTAATTGAAACTTTTGTTAGTTCATGGGGCTTTTTTTTGGCTAATTGCACTTTGGCTTATAGTTGGAAGGCCTATTTGACCCTTATCCCATATTAAAATATAGGATACTCTCTCCATCCCATTTGGTTCGATTAATGAGGCTTGATCGAAGTTATCTTTAATTCAAATTTTTATTAATATTTAATTTATTATTAGTATATAAAATTTATATATTTAGATACTACATTAAAAGTACTATTAAACAAAAAAAATTAAAAAATTAAAAATAAGTAAAAAAAGAATAGTAAAGAAAATAAATAAGGAAGAAAGAGTTGGTTTAACCAATGAATAGTATATATTTACTCTAAATTTACTTTGTTAATTTTGTAATTACTCACAACTAAAAGTGCATTTACATAAAAGTACAGACTTTATTATATAAAATAAAACTAGTAATATATTGACAAAACAAAATGTACCTTTGTACTAGAGTCATCAAATATTATACTGTTTGCATAATATTTTTTTTTTTGAAAATACTGTTTGTATGATATTTATAATATTGATTTCTCTTATGTCGTAACATACAAGATGTATTGATTAATGATTTCTCTTAATAATGCACTTGCTCCATAAGTGGGAGGTGATGAGTTCAAATCTCACTTGAAGCAAATAGTGATTATATAGGGTATCCCCTTCCTTATAATAATAAAAAAAAATAATAATAATAATAATGCATGTATCCGCCAAAAACATTATTAATAGCACATTTTGACATTTATTTGTGAAACCATTTACCTGCATGCTTTTGAATTGTTCGATCCGCACCAAATAATTTTTGAAGAGAAAAAAAAAATACCTTTGCCAAAAATAGAATCTTGTAGAAAAAATTATGACCAAAAGTGTCAAAAAGCGATAATTTGGGAGGATAAATGGTAGATAAAATATTATTTTAATCATGTGACAAATAATACCAAAGCATTCTTAATCCTGTATATATTGGCTTGTCAAGAAGAGACAAGAAAGAGCACCTTCACCTGACCATAATGTGTGAGTCATGTAAAAGTAGAAAAGTAGAAAATTGTAGCAGGCAAAGCACTAGAAGTATATAGATCAGATCAATGATTTATGAAGTAGCCGTACGTGTCGTCCAAATATCAAAACTTTAGTGAAGAAGAAGAGGAAGAAGAAGAACAAAGGCATTTTACATGATAAACGGAAACAACATCATATCATATAATAATATGATGAAAGAATTATTAGAGTTCCTTATTTATTAGCTTCAATGAATTCCCTGTATTCTCTCTTCATCTTTACCCCTGGTACTATCCTGCAGCATACACAATTAATTATATGACCACAGTTAAAACATTTCAACATAAATCTAAATCAGTAAAGAAGCAGGCATCCATCCTCAATATTTCCAAGGAACATAAAGGATAATAAAAAATAAAAAAGTAACCTACTTGAGCATTTCCTTATTTTTGAAGAACTGTACACATGGTGTACCCATGATTCCAGCTGCCTCGGCAATCTCTGGGTCTTCAGTAATGTCAATCTCAACAAAATGGACGCTCTCGTCAAATTCATCTATAACCTGCAAATCAGGGGCAGATTGAGCTGTTCAGCAAATGACGGGCTAGAAATTATGTTAAAACAGCTGAAGCTTAAACAAGACTGATTCAGCTATACATAAGTGTACTATGGTATCAAGACGGTTACACACCTTGCTGAGTATAGGTTTCAAGGTCCGACATGGACCACAAGTTGGTGCAGTATACAGTACACATACAATTCTTGGGCTCTCATGATACAGCTTCCTTAAGGCATACTGACAAGAGCACAGAGAGCAATAGTTTAAACAGACATTTCAATAAGATCCACAGAAAACATTTAAAAAAAAAAAAAAAAAGTCCTTGCACCTGTCCCTTGTGTTTTGTAAGTGTGATATCAAAACCTTCTTGTACATCTCTATCTGTGAGCTCCTTTTTAGCCTCTTCAGTTGGTTTCTGGCAAAATCAAGATAATATAGTTGAACATTTAATTTAAATTATACGCGTTTTCCCAATGAAGGTGTGTGTGATCTTGTAAAATTATCAGCTAGTCCATGAACAAGAAAGTATAGGCCAAGGCAATACCTGGTGGAATTCAACAAGCAGATCTTTGCTTGTAAGATATCTCTCAACAGATAGAGCAGCAACACACCCTGATCCAGCTGCAGTAATGGCTTGCCTCCATTCATGGTCCTACTTATTGAAGAGGGAACATTAGCCTAATAAATTACAAGTCTATGACTATTGCGGGTAAGGAGATATGTCAGAAGATTGTCTCTTATTTCACAACAGGATGGTATGCTCCCAGTGAATTTAATTTGGATGATAAAGCTCCAAAACCCAGTTGCTTATATCACAGATATAAAGATCGCATTCTCTTAGATTTTTCTGAAGGAAACACAAAGGAATGTAAAACCATTTACCTGTACATCTCCAGCCGCAAAGACACCTTCAGCAGAGGTTTTTGCTGTGCCATGCTCAACCAATATATAGCCTAAGCTATCAAGTTCGATTTGCCCTTCCAAGAGCTGACTATTTGGAGAATGACCTATCCCATAAAATAACCCCTTTGCCTCTAGCACAGATTCCTCTTGAGTGTCTAGTCTCCTGACCAAAATCCCTGACATCTGCCCTTTCTGGTTGCTAACAACATCCACAGTCTCTGTGTTGAAATGCACGGTGATGTTTGGATTGTTGAAAACTCTGAAACATTCGCCATAAGCAACCTGTTAAACAAACATTTAGGGAGTTGAAACTTGAAATACATTGCTCATTAGTAATTTGATTCATTTAAGAAAGTAAAGATATAATGACAAGGCCAAACAGTTCCCTAGTTTGTAAAATAGCAGATTTGGAATGTATCCAAAATAAAGAAAAACATTTATACAAACAAATTAAAAGCTAATCAGACAGCTATGCTTGCTTTAGAAACTCCACAAAATCTAACACACTAAACTAAAAACACCCATCATTTGGAAGTTCAAACATAAAATAATGAAAGAAACAAGCAGGGCTTAACCTGAAATCATGCAGCGATAATATTATCATAGAACCAGAAAGACATCTTGTCCAGAATACAAAATCAGTTAATCTCCCAATACCAAATCTAAGGATTATAATATGAAACTCAAGCTATTTCTTATATGTATAAGTTATAAAAATTAAATAGATTAAAAAACAAAACAAAATAAAAATAAAAGCTATATATTTATCTTATTTACCTATCTTGCATTGCCTTTGATGCTCTTAGTTGGTCTTTGCGGACGAGTAAATGCACATGACGTGCATACTTTGTTAAGTATATTGCTTCCTCAGTTGCTGTATCACCACCTCCAACCACAGCAAGGACCTGGCCCTTAAAAAGTGGTGAGGCTCCATCACAAATTGCACAGGCACTAATTCCTCTACTCCAAAATTCATCTTCCCGAGGTAATCTGAGTCTCTTTGCAGTGGCTCCTGTGGCAACAATGATACTATGGCACCTTACCTGCAAAAATAAAGGAATGAGCAGTAAATGAGTTGTATGAATACTAAGGAGCTCAAGAGTGTCCAAAAAGGGAAAAACAGATAGTAAAGAAAGGATGTTAACCCTTGACTCTAAACATCAAAGCGCAGGAACCTTTTCAGGAGATAATGTGGGGTAGCACTACACTAGTAAAATATCTGACACCAATGGCTGTTGATTGGTCTTTAAATAAAAGAAATAGTTTCGTTTGAATCAAAATTTTAAAGAAAATGAAATAATAAATAAATTAAAAAAAATCGATTTTTTTGGCAACAGCAACTGGAAGTAAAATTAATGCAACATTTACTATGACAACAGTTGGATGGACACTCAAACCACATTAGCATTGCCAACAAAAGATTTTTTGGGGCATAAAATTAAATTTCACCAGGCTCTATATAACAGCAAAGAATGTCTCTCATAGAAAAATATAGGAAAAAGATGACAAGGATACCAGCTCAAACCAAAGTGATTCAAGATAAAAGCTCTTGTCTTTTTTAAGGACCAGTTGGAGCTTATTAAGATAGAGGCTACCAAAAAAGCCTCATTATTGGAGCTTCTTGAAAAAGAGGGCTTTGGCTCTTATCTAGTTCTAGTTGAAATCTCTCTTTTAGTGTTTGGACCAACTCATTTTTTGAAGTAGATAAGCTCGGTGGACCAGATAAGCATTTGTGCTTTTTGGAGAAGATAAGCTTTGAAATAAGTTTGACCAAATAACCGCTCAATGCAGTGACAAACTGCAGCAAGAATTAGTTTAGTAGCAACATAATAGGTTAACCTGTCAACAAAAGGAAATTTCACCTTACGTTCACTACTTTGCACAGTAAAAGGAGCATTTTTTACATCAATAAATTCCACATCTTCCTGATACAGTTCAGCTCCCCAACGTTCTGCCTGCCGCCGCATCCTGGATAAAAATATACACCGTAATTAAGAGTTGCACGTGTCCATAATTTCAAAAATATTTATACTACTAGCGACAATATGCGCATTGTGCAAAAATAAATGTCCGATATATTTGTCAAATATTAAAATGATGACTATATTAAAATAGATTAAATAAAATAATTCTAAAAATTTGTAAAATTGAAAACACATATATATAGATCAAGTTAGCTGGAAGCATTTAATAGGGTTAGCTAAATTTTAAGCAAAAAGACTTGATAGAAGTTTTTTTGCATCTACCTTAGTTTTGATGTTAGTAGAAAACATAATTGTTTAAATAATATATTAGTCAATTGTGTTCAATAGAAATATTTTTTGCCTATATTTTAGTTTTGAAGGTATTAAGATGTTATTTCAAAACTTAAAACTTACATATACATTTCTCATTCAAATTTATATTGTACAAATATAGTATTTTATATCTCTTTAATTTAAATTATAGTAACGACACAATTTTTTCTCTCATTTGTCATCGTATATAGTAACCAATAAATCTTTTCCCATTTTATTACACTTGACTTGTTTGTGAATATGCCAACGATTAAGTTTCATATGAAGTTCCAAAAGAAATTTTTCAAGAAATTCAAATTTCAATAGAAGACATTGAGACAAAGCTAAAATTCTATACAGGATTCTGACAAGTATAATACTAATTCTTTGAAATCATAGTTTCAAAATAAGAATTATATTTTACTTATTGGGATAGAAATAAACATTTTATACTTTTTTCAAGTTATTAAGTCAAAATTTGAAACAAGAGAGTTAGTAATTACGACAGTACTAATCAAGAGTTGTTTGGATGTATCTATTTGAGAAAAAAGAATGTAAAAGATTAAAACTAAAAACTTAACAGGTAAAGACATATATCTTTACAAAACTGAATGTACAATTTTTAAAGCAAAAGATACAAATTATTTAGATGGTAAATGAGCATAAATTTAAGGATATAACATTTATTGATTTCATTCCCTCTTTATATATATAGTTAGAAGTATGATGGATAGACAAAAGCAAAAAGGGATCAAGAATTTCACATACCTATCCATCAAGTCTGGACCCGTTATCCCGTCTGGAAATCCTGGAAAATTTTCTACTTCTGTTGTAGTCATCAACTGACCCCCTGGAACACCACCCACTTGATATCCCTCAAACACCACTGGCTTCAAGTTGGCTCGAGCCGCATAAATTGCTGCTGTATATCCAGCAGGTCCTGACCCTATGATTACTAAATTCTCAACACTCTGCTCTGCAAGAACAAAGAGTAATGGAAATCCAGAAATGAAGTTTAAATCATATGTCTGTCCGAATACATTACTTAGCAATGTAAAATTTTCATTACAGGACATGATAGGCAACAATTAGAGGTAAACCGCATTTTGAACACTAAAATTGGCGTCTAACCAAATATCGGCACATTAGTATCTATCAGATGAACGTAATCCGTAGTTCTACTATTCTAACCCTACAAATTCAATGCGCATATTTAAAAACCGGATTCAAGAAATATAAAGAAGAGCGGAAATGGTATGCTAAGATTTCATATTCAAATGCCAGAAAGAATTCCAGACAAAAATACCTGATGAGCTAGTTTGCACTTGTTCCTCGGTGGCGACGGCGGCGGAGATTCGAAGTGATAAGTGCGAGGTACGGCGGCGAGTGAAGAAACCACCAAGTGAGTGAGCTCGAATGGGACGGCGCGTAGTGGAGGCAGACTTGAGGACGAGGAGACCATTGGGAATGGGGGAGAGAGTAGAAGGAGTGGCCATAGAGGAGGTGGATGCAGGTCGACGAGTCAAGCAGGAACAACCGAGTCTGACTCGGGTACCGATTCCGATTCCGATGCCGTTCGTTATCTTGGGATGAGAAGAAGCTGTGGTGGCAGCCATTGGTTTCGGACCATACAATATCCAGCACAGTCCAACTACAATATAGGGAGAGGTGTCACTTTGTTGCTAACTTTTGGGCCTCCTCATTACCATAGATTAAGGTCCATCTAATATTATAAACTCTTATTTAAAACGGCGTTCACGTATTAGGCAAATTATAGATCGGGTCTACCTTGCATTGTAAACTCTGGTCCAAAAATAACCTTCAGATTATGTATTTATAAATTGACATATTCATATTATGTGTCAGCAATTACCAAGTCAAATTCGATATCTATAGTTGACACATTTTATACCTGTAGTTGATAGTTTCTGTACATATATCTATGTTTGCATGTACAGAAACTATTAATTATAGGTACAGAATATGTTAACTGAATGTACAAAATTTTTGTTTTAGAATTCACAATGCAATATGAACTTTGGTCCAATCAAGCAAATTTTATTTCACTTCAACCAAATGTGTAGGGTGTGTAAACTTTGGTAAAAATCAATTAACCTATCAAATCAAAGAACTTCGATTAACTATTTTTTAACCAATATAATTTAATTTGATTAATAGTTAAGAATTTTACATAGTTCTGGTTATTGGTTAATGGCTAGGGATTTTACATAGTTATTTATTTATTTATTCCTTAATATTAAAGGATATTAATTTTTGTAAGTATTGATGTAATAGGTAATATTAATTTTTATTTATAATTTTCAGGATTTCAAAATTTAATTAACAATTTTGGTTAATCGGTTAAAAAAAAAAAAAAAAAAAAAAAAAAAAAAAAAAACTGTTGGGTAAAACTTTTTTTTTTTTTTTTTTTTTTGGAAGAGAAAAACTGTTCGGTAAATTTGATAATAGAAATTTCAATTTGATAAACGGTTAAAGATTTTCGATTAATTCAGTTAGGTTAACTAGAATGTGCTTACTTTTATGTACGTATTCAATTTGTTACATTGTGATTCTTATACAACGGAGTATCTATTTACGCTCCAATCAAGTTACATTGTGGGAAAGAAAAAAAAAAAAAATAGTCCATATATAGTTTCTTGATCACTTTCTCCTATCTTACAACATCTCCTAGTTTAAGAAATATGAACAGCTCCTCTTTAGCAAAAAGCAAAGAGGATAGTTAGCTCACTCAGGCAGAATTAGCTGCAAAATGGTTGAAGATTGTATCAAGTGTAGACTGACTCACACTGTATTCTGAAATGCCCAACTGCTCTCTGTAACAAATCAATAATTTGCAGCACAATGAACATGATGTATAAATATATATATACGTGATTATAATTATCATTAATGATCATTTTGTGAGTCACCTGTTCATCTCTATGTGCCCAAATACATCAGCGAGTGAGAGATCTTCTCCATATGGCAACTGCAAGAATTTCAAGACTCATCACCATGCTAACTGTAAAGGTAATAATAGCACACACAGATTTGCAGTAAAAAATTAATCTTGCAAACTCGTTCTTAGGCACTTGTTTGGACTAGTAAAACAAGGCTTCTTGTTTGAACCGGTAATATACGAGGGAATCATCATATGCTTCCCAATCAAACTAAAAGCATCAGCACACGCTCATCGTGTTGGCTTCACATTACCTGATACTTAACACTCAGTCCATTGCAACCTTGAAATGTTGCACCGGGAAACGAAGATTGAATGAATGCATCAATTGCTGAAAACTTCTCTTTAGCCAACCACCACTCGCAAAATATTGGCACCGGGATTCCACCTACTCATAAGTGCAAAAAATATAAGTAGTCAATAGAACTACCTAGCAAAGACCGTATTGGGTGAGTGGGGAGATGGATAGTTCGCATTATTGGAAAATGCAGAGAGCACAAGAAAGTTTAATGATTTAAGTTGAGAGTTGAATGAGGTCAGAACCTACCATCCCGAACCAACTGCTCTGTTAACTGCTCAATATAACCCGAAGAATCATCAGGTGCAAATGCAAGCGCTTTTACTCTTTCTTCATTGCCAAGCCATCTTCCAACTGCCATTATCATCTCTTTTGATAAGCTAATCTCTGCCACAGATGCATTTTCTGATGCTGGGGAGGACTCAATACCTCCTATGCACACTTCAATGTCATCAAGTATACTCCTTGGAAGGGGAGGGAGGTCAAATAGTTTCTCTTTAACTATTCGGCACAGATTTTCCAAGTCATTTGAGCTGACTTCAATTGGTTTAACCTAAATACATGTGATTCAAAGTATATAAATATATGAATATCAGTTTCAAGGACATTACAGTCACTATTACCTCAAGTTCAAGATGATTCCCAAAACGCGTTTTTAAATGTTGTGGACTTCCTATGCATCTCAGCTTTCCACCAACCTTTGAAATGTTTTAATAACATGCAAAAAAATAAAATATGTAAGGAGATAAAACAGTTTATTATATTAATCCTCAGTCAGTGGTTATGAACTTTTTCTTCTGTTTCAGAAGGGGGTAAACTCCTTCAGTTGCATTAAGGAAGCATATAAATAGTCAACTTTCTCTTAGAGGTTATGAGATTTTTGTTCTTTTGTGCCAGAAGAGGTAACTCCTTCATTTGCAGTACCAACATGTGTAAACATATAGTCAACTAGTAAACAAATGGAATAAGTACCATTATCCCAATCCTTGTACAGAGTGCTTGAGCTTCATTCATGCTGTGAGTAGTTAGGATGACAGCTGTCTTCCCACGTCTAGTTGATAGACGAGATATTACTTCCCACATGAAACGTTTGGCAATAGGATCCATACCTAAAAGTTAACAAATTTTCAGATATGGGAACCAAATATCAAGAAAGAAACTGATGCTTGATCAATTTATACATTAAGCATCTAATTACTAGTCAAAATATGTAAAAGTAAACAAACAGTATCTATGGTTTGAAACTACAAATGATTAGAAAAGCAAGAGGACTTGGAAAACAGAAAATTTAAATAAACAAAGCATGGAATAAAGTAAATGTAATTACCAGTGGATGGCTCATCAAGGATAACAATAGGTGGATTTCCAATCATTGCAATTGCAACAGACAACTTCCGTTTGTTCCCTCCACTAAGGGCGAAGGATGGTTTATTAGCATGCTTCAACAGGTCAAACTCCACTAACTTTCCCATAACAATCTGTCCAAATTACTTAGCATTAATCATCCATGGATTAATTAATATGAACAAAATTCTATCAGTCATTTGAGCATGCACAGATCATGCAGTAAATAAATTTGACTAATTTCCAGACATGGAGTTAATATGTCCAATGCTGGTTTTCTTAGTGTTACAGTACTTGGAGAGAAAAAGAATACCTCTTGAGAGTTCTCCCTCTTTCTGTATGTCTTTAGGGTTAGTCAACCTCCCCTTAAATACTAGCTTGATCTAGACTGATATGGCATGCTAATATTCTAGTTTCCTAAAATATAAGATACTCAATCACACAGAATATTCTATAACACTTAGCAAGGACCTCCTTGTTTTCATTTTTAGTACCCTTTTCTCCTTTCCTGGTAATGGAGGCAAGAACCTTTTTTGGAAGTGTGGCAAATGATCTCTTTTTCAGTATAAATATAAATGAAAAGTTTAAGAAACACATACATCCTCCAGTTCATACTCTGGAACTCCTTTAATTCTTGCATAGAGCTCAAGATGTTCTCGGACTGTTAAGAATTCTAGTAGAGCATCAAATTGTGGACAATACCCAATCTGCAAAGAAGGAAAAAAAAAAAAAAGAAAAAAAAAAAAGAGTTGTATGGGTATAATAATATAGAGCTAAGTAATTAAGATTTTTGACAATTATAAAAAGTAAAATAAAATGATAAGGTCAACAAATATCACTGCATACGTGTCTACGAGCAATCTTTGGGTTTGAACATATGTCTCTGCCAAAAATAAATGCAGTTCCATCACTTGGTTGTTCTTCTCCTGTTCAGTAAGTCAACAGTTTAGAAAAGGAGAAAAGAGGTGCTAATCTCATTGACATATTCACATAGTATATCCATTTCAAAATTAAAGTGAGGTGAAAGTAAAAAAGATCATAGAATATATATATATATATAGGCTAATATTCAAGTGCATCCACCTGTTCCCGTGAGTCACGTGAGACTTTTCGAAAATGCACAAAAGCTACTACGCGAATGCACACAATCTAGAATGTGTGTATTCATGTAGTAGCTTGTGTGCATTTATGAAGGGTCTCACGGAAGAGGTGGTCTCTATATAGCACTTTTATAATGAACAAAATGACCAACTCATGAGATAGTGTCCTCTACTAAAAGATAAAGGAATTCCTGTTCAGTTGCAAAAGCAAAAGTAAAACATGTTGAACCAATCTCTTAGAAACATATTTTCTAATGGTGATGAGCAGATGATACCAGATAGCATTGACAGAGTTGTTGTCTTCCCTGCCCCATTTGTCCCTAGAAAACCAAAACATTCTCCTTCTTGGACTGAGAATGTCAATGAATGAACTGCAATTTTTGGACCATGATGCTTCCCTCCAGCATATACCTGAAATGTATGAATTGCTACTGAAAATGCCCAATACCCAGTACTCACTGAACAGTGAACATTTAATATTTAAACCCTAATTCAACATACCTTCCGAAGATTACACAGGCATATAATTGCATTATCTGTTGAGCCTGATAGAACCCGAATTCTCTCCGTTTTAACATCTATGTCCTCATCAAGTTCAAGACTTGCGTCTTCAGAAGATTGTAGAAGAGGTTCTGATGAGATACTGGAAGTTGCATAGACAGAATTTTTTAATCCTTTCCACCATTCATAAGCTCTTGATAGGTTCATCCTTTGATGTGGCAAATACTCAAGCCCAAGTGTTAAAAGGAAATACACAATGGCCTGTCAGACATCAGAGCAGTTACCCCATTTCCAAAATTTAGTGGCCATTCATATTTAGAACATAACAAATAAAACAGAAAAGAAAACAATGAAAAGCAGGAAGGCACTCTGGTCATCTGGTGCTTTGGATTTTTTTTAATATACGAAAACATCTTCCTTGCAACTTCTGGTAGGATCAAGTTCCAAGATCCCACTCCCCTTCCCCAGCTTTAT